ATTATCATTTTTTGACTTTGCTCTTTTCTTTATAAATGGAGATCAGGTACATGTCCCATTCCTTTTTTTTTTATTTATTTAATTTTTATATTAACAAATAAGAAGCCTAGCATCCCTCTCCCATGCATGGAAATTGCAAAAAAAAAAAAAAAAAAGTTTATCGTTGTGTAGTTGCGAATTAACATGATAGTATGGTTCTAAACCATTAATTCAACTTTATCTTTTGTTTTTAGTGATAATTTCAGAAATCTCACAAGGGAGGTTCTAACAATTTCACTAGCCTCCCTTAAGGTTTCGCAAAATTATACTGACCTTCCCTAACAGAATTGTGGATCAAATTGCTGACATTACATGAGGAAGAATTACTCATTACCCTAAGACACTATATCTTATTAGAAACTAATGTTGATGATTGAGTAATTAGGGCACTAATTAATGAAAATAACTATTAAAATTTTTTAATGATGAACAGTAACTTGTAGTTATAAATAATACCAATTGATAGATCAAATGACACCAGTTTGTGATTGATATAACTTGAAAATGACAAAATCAGTTGTACACAATTTGAGAAGAAGGACTCTAGTAAGAAAGAAACATAGGGCAAAAGAATGTTGTGCATAAGGAAATTTTCTCTAAAACTGTTATAGTTGTAAAGTTAGTTCACGGAAGTAAAAGAGAAAGGAAGGAGAAGAACGGCAAAATTTAAAATTTTTTTTTTCAAAAATCATAAGAATGATAGGAAATCTCATGTTATGAGAGATAAGTGTTCTAGTTTGCTAAATCTTCTGATCATAAGTGTAATTTTGTTACTTATTTGTATTGTCTAATGAATCGAATGTGAACTTTTTTAAGAAGCAGAATGTGCGTGTTAATTGTTTCCAACTTTTAATTGTTTTCACTCTTATACCAATACGACTTATACATATGCCATAAAGATACTTATGAATAAAAGTTGAGTTAATCTTTCCTTATTTTTGACATATTTATTTCATCTTTTTTTTTATACTACAAATCCATTCTTGAACAAATACTGAATTAGGTTTATTACTTTGTAAAAATTAAGTTAAAATGGATTTATAAAAGAGAGAGAGAGAGAGAGAGAGAGGTTAAAGAAGTCTAACCTGTCATCCCACTTTTGAGTTAATCAGTGGAGGAACTTGGTTGCAAATCCAGACTAAATAGAAAGAGAAGAAGAGGCAGAAAAAGAGGTGATTGCTAGTGATGATGAATATGCGTGAATTTGCTCCTACTATCATGTTAGTTGAAAAAGATATTTATCATTAAATTATTTTATATTTGGTAATAAATAATGGTTACAGGTATATAACAAGTTGCAATTTCATTAACGACGATGGCGCAATATGGTGAGCTGTCAATGTAAAGTAGGTTTACACTGACAGTGATTAACTTATAAATATGTGAGCCGTCAATGATTAACTTATAAGGTTTCATCTTTTTTTTTAAAGTACTTTTTTAATGATACTTTTTCTGACTTGGATTGATTTTGTTACCAAAACCTTAATCTCAAAGGAGGTTAGTATAATTGCAAATTTCAGGGAAGAAGTAGTAAAATTGTTGTAAATCTTAGGGGAGGTTCTAAAATTATCCTTTATTTTGGATTTCCTTCTATTTGTCATACTCAATAGTTTTGCATTAAAAGAGTTTCATGCATTTCTTTTTGGAAAATTCGTTCAAAACGTCCCTCATATTTTGTAAAATAACTTTTTTCATCATTCACTTTTAAAATTGTAATTTTACGTCCCTTACAAATTCATATTGGTTAAATTTGATTCCTACCTAGGTTTCAGACTAGTTTTTTTATTGGAATCTACTACGTGCTTTGCATGTGATCTTTTTTAAGAGCAAAATTATCGAATCAAATTTTATATAATTTGATTCATAGTCCCTCACATTTCACAAAATGAATTTTTTCATCCTTCACATTTTTCAAAATAGATTTTTTTATCCCTATTGATCATGTGTGCGAATAATTTTTTTTAAACACACACACACACACACACACACACACACATATATATATATATATATATGTTTGATTCATCTAAACAATACGAATAGCACATTATATATCTCTATTTGATTTTACCTAACTAATAATTTTTTTAAAATTCATGTATATATCTATTTGATTTTACCTGAACAATACGAATAACACATTATATATCTCTATTTGATTTCACCGAGCGAAATCAAATAGAGATATATTTATATGCTATTCGTACTGTTCAGGTAAAATCAAATAGATATATACATGAATTTTAAAAAAATTATTAGTTTTCACTCATAATTATTTCGTTATTCGAAATTGAAAACAAAGAAGACATTTAATCCTAAACATTATCGAGTGTTTATATCAAATTAAATTTGGACAGCTTTTTCTATGTTGGCTTATCATAGAAACCTAAGCTAATAGAGTCATTACCTTGAGAGCTCAATTTAAGTTGGAAAATACTTGCGTAATCTTGGTCTATGTGTATAAATGGAGATTTAATTGTCACTATAACGAAGAGCCCAAATAAGCCAATATTAGATGATACTAACGATGACTTTCAGCTGCTGTTAAGAATGTAGCAAACGTTAGCACTTGTTCCAATAATTGAACTCCAATAATTGAACATCTTTTCCATGAAAGTAGAAGTTTTGGCATTATAGACTTGTTTGGAGTCTCCAAAGTGCTGATAGACATTTTACAATTTAAAATGGAGTATAATCCCATGAAACAAAATTCTATTTGACTAGGAATGAACATCCTTAACTCTGTGCGCATCTTTGTCGAATGAAAATTTCAAGCTCATAGCATCAATTTCCTATTCGACTTCGAAGATCGAAATAAATCTTTTCCCCTTCTACAGCTATTGCACTCTACTACACAAGAGCTTTTGCTTTACCCAGGCTAATATAAATTAACTTACATGAAACCTATTTTGCTAATAACCTAAAAGTACTAATTACATGTTTTAGCTCATCAATAATAGCACTTAGCGCCTTGAGGTTTTGAAAATTTCTCTTGTATCCCTTGTCAATATGACAAGACAAGAGGTCTCAATCAAAGCTGGTGAATTGACGCTATGACCCTGCTGAAATTAAGTAATTTTTTTGCTAGAAACGACTCTATAGGAATATTTGCACTTCAAAGAAGATCTAGTGGACGAAGAGTATGGTCTTTTGCATTTAGCTGTTACTTTGTAAATTTAATGATCTAATTTATACCTCCCATTTGAATTGATTGAGCATTTTTGTATATGTAGCGGCAATAACTTTGTCGTCGAGCTAGACTTTGAACCATTTGTTACATCAGTTCCCAAGCCAACTCTAACGAAGTCCGTCAGCATTGGAGCAAAGTTTCTTAACAAATATATTTCTGCCCCCATGTTCTATGACCAAGAGAATATGGTCCGTCTTCTTCTTGAGTTTCTTCAATCCCACCGCTATAAGAATAAGGTAAACTATCATCATTCAACTACATGGGCAATCTAATTACAATACAAAATGCTACAATCATATTCATTATGTCTCATTCTAAGCAGAATATCGATTTTCCTTGTGCTTAAATTGAATAATAAATAGTATTTGACATGAAAGCCAGTGAATTTTAATATTATTCTTGAAAATACCTATACATACATACTTCATGTTTTAAATTTGTTTTCGCTTTAGCATTCTTGTACAGACAATGATGCTCAATGATCGGATAAAGAACTTTACTGCTCTTCAAGGTGGCTCGTAAAAGGCTATAAAATATCTTACATAACTACCTCCGAAAACACCATATTCATAATTTGAAATCAAGTTAAAGAAATTGGATTGGAACATGGATGGGGTGATACTGCTGAATGTGTGTCGGAGATGGCCTCCTGCCTCATATGCTCTTGAGAAAATCAGGCCTCAAACAAAAATTGTAAACTGCTGCCTCTCTTTTCTTTATTACAATGACACCTCCTCTTATTTTGTCTTTTGCTTTTCAGTTTTGTTTTCATTTTCATTTCTTCTCTGAAAATCATATAAAGGACAACATGAGGGTCTAAATCGAAGCAGAATATTATGTCTCCTGGGATATGCATTTTATATTCCTAATTCAACCCAAAGGGCCTGACAAAGTTACAGCAGATGTCATTCAAGTGGACGGTAGAGAGATTTTCAAAACTACGGGGATGCTAAGTGCTATTATGACAAATCACAAAGGAGGTTTTTGAAATTATCCTTTTTTTTTTTTTGGTTCTTTGATTCACTTCACGTGCATAAATACACGCCAGCGATCACGACCGGATCCCCGTTCCCCTAGATTTTAGAAATTCTATGACAGCCCCCTAAAAATTTGTAACTGTTTGACATATATCTTTATAAAAATTAGGTTTTGCCCCCCAAGATTTTAAAAGTCCTTTTTTCTCCTTTTAAAATACCTAACGTTTCACTTATATCCTTGTGAATATTATACTTTGTTCTCCAAATTTTTTCCAAAAATATAAAAATGCCCCTTAAATAAACGTCTTCATAAATATCGCTCTCCAAATCTCCAGACTCTAGTTTTGCCAGTGCTATCAAGTGCTCTTTTGTTGTTATTGTTTTCTTTTCCCATTTTTTTTTTATTCTGATAGCAAGATATCAGGTATTTAAGAAGTAAAAAAGATAGAGTTGTTGTAATGTACAATATATATGTCATATTTTAAAAAATGTCTTAACCATGTACATTTTTTTTTAAAAATTTTTTGTTTTTTTGGAAAAACTATGCATGAACATGTCAATGATGCCCTATGTATCTGAACCACTAAAAATGCGGATTCTTGCACCACTAGCAACCAACCTTCATTCATGAGCTATAAAGGTACGTCAATCACTAGATAACAGTCATACAATTTACCTAAACTAAAACAATAGAGGTTGTTACTTTTCTGCAAAAGTATTGATTTGCCAGATTTTGGTAGTTTGCGGCATTCAGTTCTTCAAATATTTGAATCAATTAACCATCAAGTCATCAATGAAGAAAGTAAAAGTAGAAATGGATATTGCTATTAATCAAGAAAGCATAAGTAGAAATGGATATTGAATAGGTTACAATGGATACATTGAATCCAATACTGCCTAACGATTGAGGGTCTTTCCCTTTTTCATCTTCTAAACTCTCATTTTAATTCACTTTTCTTTTCTTCCAATGGATTCTGCTAGGAAAGCTTGAAAACCAAAAACATAAAAGAAAAGTAAAGAAAAGGGTTACAAAGCATAGGGTACAATAAGTTAGGCCACCAAATTCTTGCATGAAATTATTACTCCTATAAAGTTATGGGCATTTGGGCCCTCCCCTCTTGGTCTTCCAGTTGTTGTAGCAAGGGCAAACTTGCTTGTTACCATATGTGCCAGGAGGGACACACAGGCATTTCGCACAACATTTCTGGCAGAAGAACATGCATGGTTTCTTGTAAGCTGTCTTGGAACATCTAGTATCGCATCGAGGTCCACATTCTGCATCATTGGATAAAATGTAATGAGGAAAAAAAAAAAAGATTCTAATAGTTACCAAGGAAAAGAATACATTGGAATACATATGCATGTAGCCATATAAAATTTTCAATTCTTAGGTCAAAAAGTTGCTTTTGTTTTAATTTCTTTAGTTTCTTCTTTGCAAGTAGTTCTAGGAAATAAGGTCATGGATTTTGAGCTATATATGCATTACACTAGATTATTTTAATTATAAAAACAATCAAAATCAGTTTTCATGTCAAGTAATCTAAATTTGTGTTACATTAAAGTACTAAGATCAAATTTAAGATTTTTCAAGATAATAAATTGCCTTTTCATTCTAGGAGTCAAACTAGTGTAATAAATTGAAAGCCCGTCACTTGTCATGGAGTTGGTGCTTGAGTTACATACCTAAGTTGCTAGACATTTTCTCTTTTATGGTATACAAGGATCATGCTCTGCATTTTTAGTATTTGGTCTAGAATTCATAGTTAATTTTGTTCGGTTGCATATTTTTCCCAATCCACCCATTTTTTTGATTCCCTCAAAAACAGTAAGCTCACTATTCCCTTTTTGTCTTTCTTTTAATGGGGCCATTCAGAACCCAACTTTATTGTAATACACTTTTGTTGAGCCCCAAAGATGAAAGAACAACTGGTAAGAATTCCAAGCATAAAACAATCCACTGACAATTTGCTGATTATAATGAATACTCTTAGTTAACCCACCTTGGGGCGAAGACTTCCTTCAGTGATTCCATATTGCTGCAAAAGAATGAGAATTTTGTTAATAGAAAATTGTGACGCATGCTATATCATATGCTAATGTGATGCATTAAATCTCGTATGAGTCTATGATACACAAATTAATTGTGTAAAATACTGCAAAATAAGGTAAAATATGCTCAAAGTCGCACAAAGTATGCCTAAAACACACACGCACACACACACACATCATGAAACATGTTCTCACCCTTGCATTCAAGGCCTTAGGCTGATGCTGAGAAATTGACAGTCCAACACTAGAAGCCTGCAAGAATCAGATGAAAGTTATGAAAGGATTGTTTGTGAACAATTACAAGCTCTTAATTATTTGCTTGGACAAACATATATAGTAGTTGTGGAATATTATCATTGAAATGGAGACCAAGCTAATAGAAGAATCATATTGGCAATTTAGCTTTACAAGTAACACATGGAAATAAGAAGATTACATAATATGGTCATTTGTGCATGACTTGCAAAGCAAAAATGTTGTGTATTAATTAAAGAACGATATACATTAATGTGATTAACATAACAAGATAGATAATGGCATACATTTTCGTGCATGAAGTTGTATGATTAACACGCAAAAATGGAGAGCTAGCTAATATTCTCAAACAATAAAAAGGAGCAATGAAATATATTGAATTATTGAAGTTTAAGGAAGGGAAAAGAGAGAGAGAGAGAGTGAGATCCAGAGGGCTCAATTGTGAGGCTTACTTGATTTTGCGCCAGAATGAGTAGAACGAAAGCTAGGCATAGTAGGAAGGTTGCTTTCGTTGCCATTGTTGCTATGGAAAGAGTAGGAAAAGCTGAGATAGAGAATTGTATGAATTTGTGAAAGGAAGACACCCATATTTATAGACGTTGTCTGGGTACCTGAATCATCAAGAAGATGATAGAAATAAACACCTTGGATTGAAAATCGTTTTAAAAAAAGAAATGATTTACCTTTGTGTGGTCACTTATCACCATCACTCTCACATGTGGTTCTTTTCATTGAATTGTCCAATTTGCTCTTTCATTTAATGGATAAGTTTACATTACCATATCTATTTGTATACCATTTTTCTTGTCCAACAGAAAAGTAAAAAAATTGCACCCTTCTTTTAGAGCAAGGGAAGGATGGAATTTAAGATGCGAGACGGGAGAAAAGGCGAAAATTGAATCCAAAACATCTAATTTTTGAAATCTTGACTTTATTCACCGGATCAAAACCTCTTCAATCCTTACAAATTACACGTATTTGTCCATTGAAACCTCTTCAAAAGAAATGTATAATTAAGAATCCCACATTCTATTGTACATGTAGACGTGCTCAATTTGCTTGCAGCACTGCACTTGGAAAGGCTTATCGTTTGAAACCAACTTGCGTGGTCAAATTTGGGAAAAAAAATACAATACGATTTTGAAAATGTGGCACGATGAGAAAAATTTAAGTCTCTTAAATCTTAAAAAAAAATTTGCCACACCCTTTTATTTATTGAACTTTGTAAAATACAGAAAAAGAAGTTAAAAGTATACTAAAGCAAGAGTTGAACAATATAGAAAAATCCCTTTTCAGGCTAAAATGGTAAGATCAGCAAAACCATACGGACAGTTTTGGGCCCTAGGCTCGCTTAGGTCATCCATGTGCAATGAAGACATGAGTGGGATAGGTTGGTATTCAACATGTGCAACCACATGTTCCTCTCTTCTCGTACAAATTGTCATCAAATTGGAAGTTATGGTCAAGTAACAGTAGCAAATTGAATGTGCATCTGATCAATTAAAGAGCTCAACCACGTCCATCTGCACCACACAATTTTTGAGAAACTTTTTGCTCTTAAATGTGTCTTAATGTTGGATCACCTTTTTTTGGGTTCTAAATGATCGATGTTATAAGCAATGAGAAAAGGGTAAGATGATGGGCTTGCACATTGAATTAGATTACCTTTTTTTTTTTTTTCAATTTAAGTGAGATTATAAGCAAGGAAGAAAGTGTAAGAAAGTTGACAATTGAATCAGAAACTCAAGGGTTTTGTTGCAACTAACATCCCCACCAGTTGAGGTGGATTTGAGGACTATTTGCCATCCTTTTTCACATACTAATATAATCATGAGTTTCTATACACAAATGTGTCTTTGTGCATGCAAATCGAAGTGAAAAAAAAAAAGAGGAACTTGAAAAGAGTCTAACTCCCACCATTGAAACAGATAAATGCAGTATCTAGTCACTAACTTTCTGTTGAGCGGATTAGATTATAAGGTGAACCAAAAAGAAACAATTTGGTGTTAGGATGCATTTGTGTTTATGTAGACACTTATGGTTTTAATGATGATTGAGGAAGAGGATAGCAAGACTGGAATTAATGAGCTGGAACTGCCTCTGTAGATGGATATTAAGGCTAGTGTTGTTTTTTGCGCTTCTTCTGCCCTCTCTTGGCCTTTTGTCTTGATGATGGGAGGCTTGTGGGACTTGTTACCAGTCTAAGTCTTTTCTGAGCCATAGTTGAACATTGTGCATGTTCCTTGTTGCTGTGGCAATTGCAGCTAACAATAAAGGATGGGGTTGAGTTGGAGGTAAAGAAAGATGGACGCAATATGGTTGTGGTTGTGGTTTGGTTTGGTTTGGTTTGGTATTATCTTATTGTTATATTTATATCATAGTATTTGATGTACAACAACAAAATAGTAGTGTGTTTAAGCAAAATTTGATGTGCATAAATTGACACATATATATATATCTATCTATCTCGCTCAACCTCATTCGGCTTAGGAAATCTCATGACATGCGATTGGTCACATTGTTAGAGGAAATACTAAGTCTACAGTCTTTGTTTCGCATGTGCTCCTTTTGTTTAGTTAGTAGGATCTTAACCATATTAGCAACAGGATTAGCGCTTATGCGTTAGATATTGTTCAAGATGAAGAATTTGGATTCCTTAATGCTAGTATGCACTGTCTGTAAAGCCCCTTCAAGTCTTTACTTGAAATTGTAAAGAGTTTAGCTATCTATAAAAACAAATATCGTTCCGAAAAATATATATATATATATATATCGCAACATGGTTGTGGCTTGGTATGGTTTGGTATTATCTTAATGTTATATTTATATCATAATATTTGATGTACAACAACAAAATAGTAGTGTGTTTAAGCAAAATTTGATGATGTGCATAAATTGACATATATATTATATATGTAGTATGTAGATACTATAACATAGTCTAATCGTACATCATTAAGTATAATAAATACACCAATCGTGAAGAAATCTCACAAACCATAATCATAGGAAATGGGAGCGGTTAATGGCCATGATTTGGCCTAAAAATTTGTGCGGCTGAGATTACAAATTGTAACTCGATTTCCACGTCATGTGTGGGTCCCACAAAAATTTGCTCTAAAGTTACGCGATGTACAAAAAAGTTACACGATGTACAAAGAAAGTTACGCGCAGTTGATAATGACCAAAACCACCTGGGACGGTTGCACTTGCAACCGTCCGTGCCCCGAATCCATAATCATATGAGTCCCAAGTCCTGCTCAAACTGGGTAAAGGGTTGTTTCCTATAGAAGTAATTTACATATGTTACCGTGTTTCATCTTATTTTTCTCCCACATTAGGCCTTCGTTTGGGTTGCGATGCTTTTAGTAAAAATCACTTTTAAGTACTAAAAGTACTTTTAAAATGTTTAGTGAACATCATCTCACAAAATTAGGAGTAGAGCTTTTGATTTTAAAAGCGCTTAGAGTAGCTTTTGTGATTTAAAATGTAAAGCATAAAACTTAATTATTTTATCCTATATTATGAACCAAATAAAGAGATAAACACTTTTAAAAATTTTCAAATTATTCAATACAATAAGCACTTATTGAACTATACTTCCACACAATATATTTAAAAGCACTTAAACAGTTAATAAATACTTTTATTAAAAACTCTATTAGGAAAGTATTTTTCAATAAACTACCGCAACTCCAAACGGCTCTTAGATCTGTATCATTTCAATCATGGAAGACACAAGGTTCTTTCCCATTTCGAATGTGGTTTCTATCTGGGGTATATTTGTAAAGGTCATCTATGCTTCCAAGCAAAGAACAGTTAATTTAATCAAGTGAAGATAAGAAAAATCAAGAGCAACACATATGGGCACTCGAACAATAGTTTTTTTTTTTTTTTTTTGTCGACACAGGGGTGTTCGGGTCAATCTTTACGGGGCCCGACTAATCCCCTGCGGCCCGGGTCAGGCGCCCCAACCCACTCGAACAATAGTTAAGTAGCAACATCTTTAAGACTGTGATTAAATCTTCAGTACTAGAATTCAAATACAGGGAGTTAATCATTTGCCACACAGAAAGATTGACCTAGTTCTAATTACCAACCTTCCCATTGGTTTTTGCTTAAGAGTCCGTACCACGAGTTTCCCTTTTGCAGCAAAATGGCAAGTAAATAAACCAGTCTACAAGAGCTAATCTGTACATTAGATAAAATTACTAGTCTATCACATTACATGCACCCAAAAGAACCCAATAAACAGGACTGCCAACGCAAGCTTAAAACCTTCAGACCTTGAGTTGGAGCTGAAACAACCAATGTAGAGGCATAATTTCTAAACTCAGGAAGCTACACTTTAGTGTTGTAAACCTGCGTACTAAAATCTTTTCACCCATTGGCTCA